AATGCAGAAACCATGGATGGTTGCTGTTTTCTGGCTTTTTGCTATGACTTTGCTCAGTCTGCTTTGTTATAGAACCCAGAACCACCCAACCAGGAATGGCACAGCTGATCGTGGCAAGGGGTAGGACCCTCTCCTATCAATTACTAATTTTAAAAAGGCCCTACAGCCATATCATAGGAAAGCACTTTCTCAATTGAGGTATTCTCCTTTCAGATAAATCTAGGTTGTGTGTCAAGTTGACAAAAAACTAGTCATCACAACTGATCCCTTGCCAATTTGACATACAAACATGTCACAACTAAATCACACTTTTTCCTTCTTATTCACATCCAAGATTTCACATTAAAAATGTAAATAACTTTAAAAGTCACACAGTGTTGGGAATATTTGATCCCATAAACATACTTTGAATTTGCATTGATTACATAAAATTAACCTTATGGTAAACTAGGTTAGCTGAAAAGGGATTGTATAAAAGACATTCCTAGAAACAATGGATTTTCTAGAGATATCCAAGCAGGAGGTCCCAGTCTTCTGTAGTATGCAGAAGGTGTGGCAAAGGTCCCTATTGTACTATTGAATACAGATCAACAAGAGACAGGCAAGGTAATCATTTGTCATCAGGAAATGCCTTAGGGGGCCTCTCACAGGCTCCAGTGTCAAATTTGGTTCAGTCATTTCTTGTCAGTACTGGGGAAACTCCTTCACAGGGCAATTAAAACTAACTTATAAGACTAAAAAATGCTTTTTATTTGACTAGGTAAGAAAAAATAATTATTAATAAAAGATAATACTTTCATCTTGCCAAAAACATTTTGACTTAACATATATATAAGTTGACAAAAAAGGAACTGCCCAAAGGTAGAGTGGGCAAGGGTTTTGCTTTTACTTCTTCAGGAGAATAAAAACATCTAACTAAGAAATCTGAAGACCACTAGACAATCGAGATATCTGAAGAAGGATAAATCACCCAGAGAATAATGTTCCAAGAAAAGGATTGAAATTGGTCTAATGTTGTAGCATATTTTTTAAAAGGATAACACTTCATAAATCTCCCCAAATATTTGTTTCTACTGTCCAGGCAAACATAAAAGACAAATAGTCTTTTTGTGGTTCTCAATTCAATTAAAAATCAAAGCTGGCTTTGGTGTTGGCATGTAACTTTCTCCTTCTCTAAACCCAAACATGACTGTTAAAATAAAATTCATGGCAGGCAGTGGTGGCAGTGCATGCCTTTAATCCCAACACTCGGGAGGCAAGTGCAGATGAATCCCTGTAAGTTTGAGGCCAGCCTGATCTACAAGAGCTAGTTCCAAGACAACTAGGACTGCTACAGAAGGAAACCTTGTCTCGAAAAAACCATAATAAATAAATAAATAAATAAATAAATAAAATTCATAATCTCTGTCTCATGTCAGAAGAGGGACTAGATATGGAACGAAGAAATCCAAAATTAAGGGACTATTCTATTGTCACTAATCTCATGGGAAGTTTTTTATTCTTTAAAACTATTATTAAGGGATCAATATTATCTCTAAATTTATAAGATTAATATATATATATATATATATATAAACTTTCTGTTATATTAATGGTAATCTAGAATAATAACTAATGCTCGAAAGGGGCTTTACCTAGCTTTCTATATGTGGTTTTAGCCTTGAGTCTAAAGCGGGAAACTAGGAATTTAGTTTGTATACCCTGAATATTTTAATAGATTGTAATTTTTTAAATTTTTCTGAAATCTACTGCATATGACACTTAAAACACTTAAGTTTTCTTCAGTGATCTGTGAACATTCCTAACAGTGACATTTGAAGTCTCCAAAAAGATAATGGTACCCATAAGAAGGATTCCAACTGGATTGTTAGAATAACAACACTACCCAAAGCTGACAAACACTATGCAAAGGTCAGCTTTAAACTTCAAACTAGTAAGGACATTAGCAAGTTGGTTAGCAGAGAAGATACAGCTTCACAGACTATCCAGCCAAGACTTCAGATAAACCCCATACTTTTTCATCACACAGAGACTAAACAAAAAATACTAAAGCTAGCTTTCCCAGGATTTGATCATAAACCAAATTTTCTCAGGATCTTTTATAGGTACTTTTGCCCAAAGGAAACAAGAAGCAATTTTAAGAATATAATGCCCACATTCCTAAGAGAAGTATTGGGTGTGTTTTGGTTATTTAATGCATTGTGAATGTTTATTATCATTTTGCAGGGGGTGGGTGTGGATTGCAAATTGTTACTGGTCATAGTAAGAGAGGAAATTAAGCATGAAATTGGATTGTAGGATCTCTTTCTGAAAAAGCAGGTAATAAAAAAGATAGGATACAAGGATAGATTATTTAATCTACTTTAAACTAAAAAGTATTAATCACAATTTTTTACATTGGTATGAATTTTTGTATATTGATATGAATCTAGGTTTTTTGTTAGAATATGCTGTATATATGCTTGTACTCTTAAGATTATTTTATTGATACAAATGTAAGGCTATTTTTATTATACTGAATATATGTTTCTACTCTTGTTTAAGGAAGCATACCTATGCAGTTCATTTTAAAATTTCACGAATAATTAAGAAATACAGGTTAGTAGTTAGTCATCTATAATAATCTTGTAATTATGGTATGTATGTTTTCAAGGTTAAACATAGATACATTTTTGATACAAGGTGGCCTTCAAACATGTCAGGGACTTATAGAATATGGTGTTTAAGATGTTTTAATAACCCAAGGCTTTTCTTGACTTTGAGACCCATCTGTCCTTGCAGTGCCAATTTACTTAAAAAAAAAAAAAAGATGATGGGAATCAAAGAACCTCTATATGGAGTTTGCTTTTATTTGACAATTTAGCCACTGTGCAAACCCTTGTCTCCACTGCTTACAGTATGCTCTCCAAATTGGACCAGTAGGACACAAAACAAGGTGACTGCAAAACTTTACCAAAGCAAGATAGGAGAGTCAATCAAAATTTACAGAAAAATCTATCAAGTATTCTACTCCTGTAGTCTCAAGATGGATGTCTCAACGTTGTAGAGAACATGTGACTGTCCAGGTAGCCAGCTATTCTGTCATTTCTATGACAAGTTTTAGAATTTGTTTGCTCTTCACTTCCTGTTTGCTCAGGTAATATTACATTCTTCTCCTGGTATCTAATGGAATTGAAGACAAGATAGTTATAGCTATACTTTTTGATGTTACAAAATTCATTGAAGAAACTTACAAAATATGTATAAGGCATATAAGATTGAGAGACATGAAATCTTAAATTGTTAATCTAAGAAAATGTTTTGAGGTTTAAAAATTAGTTTTGAGTTGGTAATAAAAGTTAAGATATAAAGTCAGTTGGGTAGAAAACTTTTGACTCACCAATATTAAATAGATAATAGAGCACTTTCTCTGAATTTGCCAAATAAAAATGGATGAAACATTGTGTATGTAATTCTTACTAGATAATTTTTTATATAGTTTTATATTGTTAAATTTAAAACCTTTCCTTTTATTTAGACAAAAAAGGGAAAATATTGGGAGACATTCAACCACACTGGGAAACCCAAGGTTGCTTTTGAATTGATTAAATAAAATTAACCTTGGGTCAGGAGGCTGAGTTAGCAAGTTGGAAGAAAGTAATCATAGAGCATCAGAGGACATACAGGAAAGACCTGGGAAGTAGGTGGGAGGAATGTAGATTAGTGCAAGCTTTTCTGGTTTGGTAGAAAAGAAGCATGGTCTTTCAGAATTGCCAGCAAGGAGAAATGGTTAGCTTTTAGCTACTTAGCTTCTTTGACCCAGAAGATTTTTCACCCCAATCTTTGAGTCTTGGCTCTTATTTGTAAATTGAATGATAGAGATTTAGTTCAAACTACCTGTGGCAGCAGAGACAGAGCTGGTGCCTGGAGCAGAATTCCCACCAGGCTACAGTCTGAGCAACTAGGCCACTCCTAGAGAAGCAGCTGGTAACTGCAGAGTTGCAATTGCTGGATATTTTAGTTATCTAGGTTGTTTTATGGTTCCATATTGATTTTAAGATGTTTATTGTGAGGTGAGATGGGAACATTGATTGAGACTACACTGAATCTAATCTGCAAATAGGTTTTGGTAGAAAGATAATTTTTACACTATTAAAATTCTTCTGATCCATAAGCATGGGATGTTTTTCCATTTTCTAGGGTCTTTTTCCATATCTTTCTTTAGAGATTGAAGGCTTTTACTGTAGAAAGTCTTCGTTCCATGGCTACATTTAATTCTAGATATCTTATTTTCCTTGAGGCTATTGTGAATGGTAGTATACCCATGGTTTCTTTCTATGTATGTTTGTGGATAGTATATAGAGGTGTTATTGTTTAATTCAAACTTATTCTTTATCATGCCACATTGCTGAATAAATCATTGCAAGAATTTTGTGGTAGAATTTTTGATCTCTCTAATTTATAATAGTATGCCATCTGCAAATATGGATAGATTGATTTTATTGCTTTCCTATTTGTTTCCATTTAATTTTCTTCTCTTGCTCTATTGCTCCAACTAGTGCTTCAAAGAAAATATTAAAAAAGGAGCAGAGATAGTAAAAATCATTGTCTTGTTCCTGAATTCAAGGGTATTTCTTCAAGTTTCTCTTGATTTTGAATGATGTTGGCTGTGCATTTCTCATATACAGATTTTACTATGTTGAAATAAATTCTTTCTAGTCCCATGTTCTCTAAAATCCTTCCCATAAAGGCACATTGGGTCTTATGAGGGCCTTTTTGTCTATGTTTTGAAACAACTACTTTTTCTTCATGTTAATTTATATGGTTTATTGTATTTATCAGCTTGAGTATGTTACATCACTCATGCATTTCAAGGATAAAGCTAACTTGATCCATGGATAATCTTATTGATGTATGTCTTTATTGTGTTTGCTTGTATCTTACTGAGCATTTTTTAATATATGTTCACCAAAAATAATGGTCTGTAGCTTTATTTTTGTTCTATTTCTTTTCTGATTTGTTAAAGTATGGAATGCTTCAAGAATGTTTGTGTCATTCATGTGCAAGGGCCATACTAACCTTCTCTGTATTATTGCCATTGTAGGACATATGTTGCTGAAATGAACATTGCCTGTTTATTAAGGTTAAAATATTGCAATATGTATTACTGCTTCTACACTTAGGTATGTGAATTTATATATGCATTTATGATGTTTAATAATATGTATTTATCAATTATCTATTGATAGACACTTCAGCTGTTTCTTCCTCTAAGCTATTGTGAAGGTTGTTTGAAGGTATAAAGATATGCAAATAGCTCTTTCATATCCTGCTTCAATGGTTCAAAAACATACTCAGAAGTAATATTGCTTGATCAAATGACAATTTTCTTTTTAACTTTTTTGAGCATGCTCTGTAGTGTTTCCCATTGCAACTGTAATATTTTACATTTTTTTACCAAGAGCACTTAGACATTCCAATTTCCTGATTCTTACCAACAATTATTAATGCACTGTTTCTGGTAATGTCTATCTTTTTTTTTTTTTCGAGACAGGGTTTCTCTGTAGCTTTGGAGCCTGTCCTGGCACTAGCTCTTGTAGACCAGGCTGGCCTCGAACTCACAGAGATCCGCCTGCCTCTGCCTCTTGAGTGCTGGGATTAAAGGTGTACGCCACCACTGCCCGGCTCGGTAGTGTCTATCTTAATAAATATGAGATGTCATTTTGTTTCTTAAGAATTGAGGAATATATTTTCTTTTTCCTCATATTTTTTATCATGGACTTAATCTTCCAGAAAGTGTTTAGAATAAAACTAGTAACAAAAAAATGAAAAATACTAGTAACAAAAAATCATTCACTAAAAATAATTAGTAAAGTAAATATGTTTTCATAAAATTGAACATAAAAGATAAAACTTATAAACTTCAGAAGTATTCTGTTTCAATTGCCACATTTCGAGTTCCATGTAGAAACTAGTTCACAATGTGCATGACCAGGGAACAACTCAGGAGCTGCCTCCTTCATTATGCATCTCTTGTGGATGTTTCACTGCTTCTTTATCTGATCCATAAATGCATGAGTCCTTAATTTAATCTGATGTCACTTCCTAAACCTGGTTCAGAATGTTCTTGCTTTCTCACTCAAAGAGGTCAAGAGTCACTGAAATAGAAGGCCTGAAGATGAGGATATATTTATATATTTATTGTTCAGACATAATGACCATGCTGTAGTCAAATTAATATTAAATTTATAAATGCTATATTCTCTCAATCATCTATGTATTATTTAATACAATCTCTGGGTCATTTCAAGCACATGGCTTTTGCTGAGGCTCACTGGGTACACAGGGCAAAATCTCAGGAAGACTTAATTTTTTATGCATGCTTTATGCATAAGTAAATTGGAACATGGAGATTAGATCACACTCCAGCTGTTTCTTTGTAAACTGTGCTGTATCTTCTATGCAATTCCAAGACAATAATAACCTTCAATCTCCAGGGGTTACACATGAACACAGCAAAAAAAAAGATATTAAATTAAAACACATATGCAAATTGCTGCAGTGATTTCCTCAGGCGATGGTCCCCCAAAATGCCTCCCATTACAGGTGCCATCAAACGGTCCCTGGGCTGTGTATAGAGTTAATTTGTAAAGAACAATTCAGCAAAATTTAGCAAATCACCCATGGCTGATCACCCTGTTTCAGGATCAGGTATTATCATGTTACTCAACAAGGGAATTAACCCCTTTTTAATAATAACCAAGTTATACTGAGTGGAATACAAATGGTTTTCTCTTGAAACATTTTCATTTCAGTTTATTAATATAAAATTTATCTTTTATGGATTGGATCTAGAAGAAGTACTACAAAAAAAGACAGATGTAGAAAAAGACCAGTCTTTATATAAGAGGTTGTAAAAGAAGAAAGTTACATTAGGCATATACAAATTTATGTACTAGATATTTACTGATGGTTTAGTGAATAATGGGTATTGCTTAGAAATCTGAGAAATGATTTAAAATGTATTAGGTAAATGTGGGTATTACGCTTTCAATGTGAATGTCTCACATAAGCTCACGTATTTAAACACCTGTTCCCTAGTTGATGGTACTGTCTGGAAAAGTTGGCACCATTAGTATTTGGAACCACACAGGAAGAAATAAATTATTAGAAGTGGGCCTTGAGATCTTAGAGCCTATATTCACTTTATCTCTGCCCTTTGGACTCTTGTTTCTAGATGTGAGGAATCCCACTGGTGCACTCTTGCTAACATGGAGTCATATCCTACTATGGCTTTCCCATCATCAGCAACTGCCCCCCCCCCATTGTAAATCAGAACAAATTCTTTTTCCCTTCATTTGTTTCTTGTTATTACAGCAACACTAAAAAGTATATGATACATATGTTCTACAGGCTAATTGATAACACCGGTTGGATCTAGTGGTAAGATACAGAATATCCCAAATCTGGGCATTCTGTGTGAAGTGTATAATTTCTATTCTCTATTCATGGTGGCTTGAGTGGAAAGGTCCCTCACAGCCTCGTGTCTTTAACATGTGATCCCTAGCTGGTGCTGCTGTTGGGAAGATTATATAATTTTTAGGGAGTGGACCTTTGCTGAGGCGTGTACATCACTAAGGGCAACTTTTGAGTTTCTACAGCCTGTCCTCACTCTCTGATTCCTATGAGCAGATAGAATGTTATAAGACAGATTTCTTTCAGTTCCTGCTGGTGTACATAGATTTTGCCATGCCTTTCCCACCATGGTAGACTATAGCCCTTCTGTAACTTCAATATGAAATAACCTCATTATTCCTTTAATATGATTTTTGTCAGGGTATTCTATTAAAAAGTAAATAATACACCATTCAAGGGACACTGTAAATAATGCCTGGCTTGTTCTAGTACCTCAGATCTTCATCTGTGTCAATGTCACAACTGAACATTATCCTTCTCTAAAGGACAATATTATTTATGAGATGTAGAGTGGGGAGAAGATGCATAGATGTATGACTATGGGATGCTTAAAGGTGATTCAAAATCTTCAGACTTTGCCCTTATAGGGAAGCCAAAAAAAGCTGTGAATAAGTAAAAAAAATGAGTACTGGCCTGTGCCCCATGAGTAGATAGGACTCAAGATGTTTCACATACTATCAACATCTAATTAGCTGACTATATGACATCAATAATGCAGAACCAGTGCATAATTTAAAGTACTCCATAAGAATATAACGATTATACCCCTTAAGAGAGTTGCAGCAACAATTTCAATATGTTTCTTCAGTTATCATGAACTCATATCTGCTTGGAATTTTTCTTTTAGAGTCTGAAAAGATTTCTATGTTTCCTAATTAAGACTTATAAGACTAGCACCATTAGAAAGGATGGTTTATAAACCCGAAGGACATTTGTCACCCTCCATTTAGAAGCAGAGATTTCCCTTCAATAATTGTCACTCTCTTGGCTTTTTTCATGATTCAATATTAGTCATTCTTTCATTATCAGTTAATACCTCTAATATGACTTTCTATGGAATTTTCATTGTATCACTGGATATGCCATGATTTAATAACATTGATATTATTCAAATATCTTGGTGAATAGTATGAGGAGAGTTTGTAAAATATTAACTATCTGTGTCTTTAAGTCAGACTAAAAGAAGTGAAATATTGAATTATGCATATTAGGCAGAAATCTTCAAACAAGTTATTTATTCTTCTGTGACTACTGTAGCAGGAAAATTTACAGCAACAAAATGATCATTATTTTCAAAATATTTGTTTCTTTGCCTGAAATATCAAAATACTGAACCACATCGAAAAAAGAATCACAAATAATATTAACTATAAATTACAAAAATCTGCTATGGATATTTTAAATATAGAATAATAAAAAGTTGTAAAATGCCAAAATATATTTTATATGAAATTCTTTTATAATTTATTAATTAATTATTTTCTCAGCATCCCAATCACATTTTCACCTCCCTTTCTCCATTCGTCCAAGTCACTCCCATTTTTCCTCCCCCCATCTACTCCTCCCTTCCCTTCAGAAAAGGGCAGGCCTATTTATATCAGCTAGCATGGCATGTCAAGTTGCAGTAAGACTAGATGTCTCCTCTTTTATTAAGGCTGAATGACCAACCCAATAGGAGGAAACGTAGGTTAAAAAGTTAGAAACAGTTCCTGCTCCCGATGTTAGGAGTCACACAGGAAACCAAGCTATCTAACTGTAACATATGCCTAGGTCTGACCCATTCAATCTCTTTGGTTGGCTTTGGAATCTCTGTGAGCCCATATGAGCCGAAATTAGTAGGTTCTGTGGGAGTTTTTTGTTTGTTTGTTTTTGTTTTTGTTTTTTGTTTTGTTTTGTTTTTTTGTGGTGTCCTTGCTTCCTCTAACTCTCAAAATCCTTTCTTCCCCTTTTCCACTAGATTCTCTGAGGTCTGCCCAATGTTTGGCTATTGTTCTATGTATCTATTTTCATCAATTGCTGGGTAAGTGATTGATAACAATTGGCTTAGTCAATGATCTATGAACACAGCAGAATATTGTTAGGAATCATTTCTTTAAACTTTTTTGTCAGTCATGTTTGGTTCTATTCTAGTTCTCTGGGCCATGCCCTTCCAGGTAGTGACAAGGAAACATTCCCTCCCATGGCATGGGTCTCAAGATGGACCAGTCATTGGTTGGTCACTTCCACAAATTTCTATTCCACTTTTACCTAGGCAGAATATATTAAAGGTTGAAAATTATGTGGATTGGTTGGTGTTCCAGTCCCTCAAAAGGAAAACGTGTTTGGCGAGAGGAGATGACTAGTTCAGACTCCTTGTCCTCCATTTCTAGATCACCTTCATAGATTCTTGGCATTTTCCAAGGTGTAAACTCTCCCTTCAGTCCATATTCTGGCCCATAACTTCTTCAGAAGACTTTTGCTTTACTAGAGGCCAGGCAGGAAAAAAAAGACTAAAAGTAAGATACCAGTGCTCATTTATTAATACCACTGTCTTCCCCTACAAAGGACTGATGTTCCCTTTTTAGTACCAGGGTGAGGTGTCCAATCATATATAACTCCATTTGTGGGGAATTCAATGCCTTCTAGCCTCCAATAGTTAGCAGGAACCCCCAT